TGCAGAAAATAATGTCCAGGGAGGATTGCCTGAATCATATATGGCCTATACATTTTTTTTGATATTCTGATTTTTTTGTGTGTGTGTGTGTGTGGTACGCGGGACTCTCACTGTTGTGGCCTCTCCCATTGCGGAGCACAGGCTCCGGACACGCAGGCTCAGTGGCCATGGCTCACGGGTCCAGCCGCTCCGCGGCATGTGGGATCTTCCTGGACCGGGGCACGAACCCGTGTTCCCTGCATCGGCAGGCGGACTCTCAACCACTGTGCCACAATGGAAGCCCGATATTCTGATTTTTAATCTTTGGGTTAAGCTAAAGTGTCAGAGAGCTGAATAACTAGGACATTGTTATAGCTCCCTATGGAACTATTTTTATTTCACTGAGCTTTGAGTTTTGGCTGTTAGCCTACCATGAAAGGCATTATTTTAAATAATCCTATGAGACTTCATTATTGAATTTATTGCAGCTATATTATTGAGGGAAGTTCCCTGTATGAGAAAGTATCCTCCTTTTTTTTTTGGTCACACCACGTGGCTTGTGGTGATCTTAGTTCCCCGACCAGGGATTGAACCTGTGCCCTTGGCACTGAAAGCACCTAGTCCTAACTACTGGACCGCCAGGGAATTACCAGAAAATACCCTCTTTAAGTGAGGACTAATGAGATAAAGTTCCCTTAAATTTATTAAAAATAGTAACTGTGATTCTTTATTTTTTTAAATTGAAGTATAATTGATTTACAATATTATATTAGTTTCAAGTATACAGCATAGTGTTTCAGTATTTTTATACATTATACTCCATTAAAAGTTATTACAAAATAAAGGCTATAATTCCCCGTGCTGTACAATATATCCTTGTTGCTTATCTATTTTAACCATAGTAGTTTGTATCTCTTAATGCCATACCCCTATCTTGCACCTCCTCCCTTCCACCTCCCCTCTGGTAACCACTAGTTTGTTTCCTATATCTGTGAGTCTGTTTCTTTTTTGCTATCTACATTCGTTTTATTTTTTAGATTCCACAAATAAGTGATATCATACACTATTTGTCTTTCTCTGACTTATTTCACTAAGCATAATATTCTCTATGTCCTTCCATGTTGCTGCAGATGGCAGAATTTCATTCATTTTTATGGCCGAGGAGTGTTCCATTGTATATATATATATTGCACATCTTTTTTATCCATTTGTCTGTTGATGCATACTTGGATTGCTTCCGTATCTTGGCTATTGTAAATAGTGCTGCTATGAACATTGGGATGTATGTATCTTTTCAGGTTAGTGTTTTTGTTTTTTTCTGGATATATGTCCAGGAGTGGAATTTCTGTGTCATAAGGTAGGTCTATTTTAGTTTTTTGAGGAATCTCCATACTGTTTTCTGTTTTCCATAGTGGCTGCACAATTTACATTCCCACCAACAGTGTAGGAGGGTTCCCTTTTCTCCACATCATTGCCAACATTTGTTATTTGTGGACTTTTTGATGATTGCCATTCTGACAGATGTGAGGTGATATCTCATTTTTTTTTGTTTTACATTATGTTAATAAATAGAGATGTTGAGCATCTTTTCATGTGTAAGCCATCTGTGTGTCTTCTTTGGAAAAATGTCTATTCAGGTCTTCTGCCCATTTTTTTTTTTTAATTTTTAAAATTTATTTTTATTTTTGGTTGCATTGGGTCTTAGTTTCGGCACGCAGGATCTTCGTTGAGGCATGCGGGATCTTAAGTTGTGGCGCGAGGGCTCCTCGTTGCAGTGCGTGGGCTTCTCTATAGCTGTGGCGTGTGGGTATTCTCTCTCTAGTTGTGGCACACAGGCTTCAGGGCACGTGGGCTCTGTAGTTTGTGGCATGCAGTCTCTCTAGTTGAGGCGCGTGAGCTCAGTAGTTGTGGCATGTGGGTTTAGTTGTCCCATGGCATGTGGGATCTTAGTTCCCTGAGCAGGGATCGAACCTGCGCCCCCTGCATTGTAAGGCGGATTCTTTACCACTGGACCACCAGGGAAGTACCTTCTGCCCATTTTTTGATTGGTTTGTTTTTTTGATATTGAGTTGTATGAGCTGATTATATATTTTGGGTATTATCTCCTTATAAGTCGTATCATTTGCAAATATTTTCTGCCATTCAGTAGGTGGTCTTTTTGTTTTGTCTATGGTTTCCTTTGCTGTGCAAAAGCTTTTAAGTTTCATTTGGTCCCATTTGTTCAGTTTTGCTTTTATTTCTTTTGCCTTGGGAGCTATATCCAAAAAACTATCGCTACGATTTATGTCAGAGTGTTCTGCCTATGTTCTCTTCTAGGTGTTTCATGGTTTTCAGGTCTTATGTTTAGGTTTAATCCATTTTGAGTTTATTTTTGCATATGGTGTGAGGAAATGTTGTAATCTCATTCTTTTACATGTAGTTGTCCAGTTACTGTGATTCTTTTGAACAACTGGCTTGATTTCCTTTTGTGGAGATTGTATTTTGTATCAGTGATTTTCTCTCTTTTCCTTTTCCTTTTCCTTTTTCATTTCCTTTTCCTTCTCCCCTCCCCTTTCCTTCTCCCCTCCCCTTTCCTTCTCCCCTCCCCACCCCTCCCCTTTCCCTCCCCACCCCTCCCCTTTCCCTCCCCTCCCCTCCCCTCCCCTCCCCTTTCCCTCCCCTCCCCTCCCCTTTCCCTCCCCTCCCCACCCCTCCCCTTTCCCTCTGCTCCCCTCCCCTCCCCTTTCCCTCCCCTCCCCTCCGCTCCTCTCCTCTCCCCTTCTTTCCTTCATCCAATGGTTTTTAGTGTATTCACAGAGTTGTGCAGTCACCACAGTCAGTTTTACATTTCATTACCCCAAGAGGAAACTCTATACCCTTTAGCTATTACTCCCAAATCTCCCCATCCTCCTCAGCCTTAGACAACTAATAATCTACTTTGTCTCTATAGATTTATCTATTCTGGTCATTTCATTTAAGTGGATTATATTCATATAATATTTGGTCTTCTGTGTATTTCACTTAGCATACTGTTTCCAAGTTTTATCCATGTTGTGGCATATATCGGTATGTTGTTCCTTTTTGTGGCTGAATAATATTTCATTGGATGGGTAATGCCACATTTTTTAATACACTTACCAGTTGATGAATAGTTGGACTGTTTCCACTTTTTGGCTATTAAGAATAATGCTGCCTTGAATAATTTTGTGTTTTTGTGTGGACATATGTTTTAATTTCACTTGGGTAATTGCCTAGGAGTGGAATTGCTGGGCTAAATGCTAACTCTATGTTTAACTTTTTGAGGAACTGCTGGACTATTATCAAAAGTGGCTGCATCATTTTATGTTCTCTAGAGTAACCTTGCCATCACTTGTTATTATCTGACTTTTTGATTCTAATGGGTATATTAGATACCTCATCGTACTGTGGTTTTGATTTGTATTTCCATGATGACTAATGATGTTAATGCTTATTTGTCATTTATCTATCTTGTTTGGAGAAATGTCTATTCAGATATTTTGCCTATTTTGTATTTTTTGGTCTTTTTGTTAATGAATTGTAATCTTTTTTTTATATATTGTAGATACAGTCTCTTATCAGATATATAGTTTGCAAAAATTTTCTCCTGTGGGTTATCTTTTCACTTTCTTGATAGTGTCCTTATGTACAAAAGATTTAATTTTGATTTAGCCCAATTTAACTTTTTTGTTGTTGTTTTTGTTGTCATATGAAGAAATCATTGCCTCATCTAAGGTCATGAATATTTACTTTCCTTTTTTCCCCCCAAAGAGTTTTGTAGTTTTAGCTCTTACATTTAGATCTGTGATCCATTTGACTTAATTTGTGTATGTTGTGAGAAAGAGGTCCAGCTTCATTCTTTTGTATGTGGATGCCCAATTGTCCCAGCACCATTTGTTGAAGAGACTGTTCTTTTCCCATCAAGTTGTCTTAGCACCCTTGTCGAAAATCAGTTGATCATAGATGTATGGGTGTATTTATGGGCTCTCAATTATGTTTTCTGATCTGTATATCTACTGTACTACTATTTTCTGTCTGCTAGGAAGCTTAGAACCCAGTGTGCAACCTTCTGGCAGGCGGCTAGGAACTTCAAGGGTAGGAATGGTGGACTCACGTCACCCCTGGCTTCCCCTGTTTACTTCCAGGTTTCTTTCTTGCTATGTGTGTTTTATTAAAAACTATTTTTTTGTAATGAAGTGTGGGTCATTAATAAATATCCTTACACGTCAGATGTTTTATTAATCAGTTCTAACTGAAGGCTGGCTAATTTACACATTTTGCTTCTGTCAACTAAAAAATGGGAATTTTCTATTAAGTATCTTAAATGTTTCCCCCTGTCAAGTTACTATCATCACCTGATGTTGCCTTTTTATTTACTCTTAATTGGAATTCAGATAATTTCTAAGATTCACACCTATTTGACTGCTTGGCTGTGTTTCTGTCATTAATAACTTATTTTCATCTCCCCCCCTGCATTTTAAGTGATTGTATTATGTGTACTGAAAAGTATCTTGAATATAATTTGGTGTTATGTTCAGAGAACTGTAAATGTTTATATCTATTTATTCAATAATCCCACTTCCAAGTATCTAGCCTAAGGGATAACACTAAATATAGAAAAGTGCACATTCATCATAATATCCACCACACCTAATCCATAATTCTGAAAAATGGAAAATAACTGATACGTCTAAGAGCAAGGAATAGATAAGTTAGCTGTATTATAGCCACCGAATGGGATATTGTGAATCCATTTTTAAATGGCAGTAATAAAGTAGTATAAAGACTACTTAGCAGCTTTAAAATTAATGTGATATAATGATAAGTGGAAGAAGCACTTTATACAGTAGTCATATTAGAAAGAGTAGAAGGAAATACAATGATGGCAATTTTTTTTTTTTTTTAGATGGTGGGAGAGTGCCTGATTTGCTGTTTTTGTTAAGTTTGTCATTCTTTTGTATGTTTTAATTTTAAAACCTGGAATTATTGAAATTTATAGGAATGCTTTTTTTTCCCTTTTTCAGATGTGAATCTGGTTACACTGGACAGCACTGTGAAAAGACAGACTTTAGTATTCTCTATGTAGTGCCAAGTAGGCAAAAGCTCACTCATGTTCTTATTGCAGCAATTATTGGAGCTGTACAGATTGCCATTATAGTAGCAATTGTCATGTGCATAACAAGGTAGGTAATGGCCTAAGAAACACCAACTTTCAATTAGAGGTGGGTGGCTGTTAAAGAAGAACCTTGAAACACTCAAAATGATAGGGACTTTATGTCCACCAGCCTATTAGGAAGAAATCCTAGGATCAGTTCTCTAAGGTTTCCATGTAGGTCTGACCTCTCAGTGTCTTGCTGCTTTAGAATTTGGTCAAGAACTCACTCCCAGGGTTACAGGCTGCAAGCAGAGGAAGCGTGAGGATATTCAGTGGCATAAAGGAATTTCGAGATCTTAGAACTATGTGTGTGCTTCAAGCACTGAATTTAGGGACAGCGATGGTAGCAGAATGGTCTGCACATGCACGTAAGAGCCATGCAGAAACTTTTTAAGTCCTGCAGAACTGACTAGGTCTTATGCCCTAGGAATATACTTTATCCATAGTAAATATAATAAGGGAAGAAATCAGAGGTTAAAGAAAACCGCTTTTTTATATGTTGTCTTAACATTACTTCATTTTCTGGAATACAGTCATAAATATTAAACTTCAAAATTCTCTTATCATAACTAAAACTGTTGGAGTTTATCATAACTAGCCCCCAAACTAAAGGATGTATTTGGAGTGCAATTAGCCTAAAAATGGGTGTTTTCCAGGCTGAGTGGAAATATGTAAGTCAGAACTGAACTGGACCTGGGAGAAGTAAAAGCAAATTAAGTTCATCTTGTCTTTATGCTTCCCAGTCTCATGTCTTTTCTTCTTGCTTGCTTTGTCCTACCTCCTTTAAGGCTTGGTTCAGAGTCCCATAAACATCATCTCCATACTCTTCTGTATTATTCTGGGCAGAGGGCTGGAATTCATCAAGTGCAGATATTGGCAGGCCGTGATGGATTTATGGCTCTTCTATCCACAGACAGGATAGAAGCAGATCATCAGTGGTCTCAGCCATCTGGAGCTAAAATGATAAATCTAGAAATGATAAAAAATATTCTCTGAGAAGCAGGTATTTTTCATAAAATGTAAGCACTAAAGCCAGTGGACTTTTATTCTGTAGAACAGATGATCTGCCCTTAGGCAAGACTACTGAGTATAAAATTTGACAGTAGATTAAAGTAGAGACATAATATTATAAAAAATAATGACAGCACACAGAGAAAACAGAAAAAAAAAACTACCATGTAACAGCAGGGCTGCCTGTGGCTATTTAACATAGGCTCAGAGGTTAAATAATTTGCCTGTGGTCATCCAGCTAGCAAGTGGAAGTGTCTGGATTTGGATTTGGTGCTGCCTCATTTCCTAAATCATTCCTCTTTCCACTGAACCACCAAGAGGAAGAGGGTCTGTGTTGAGTCATCTTGGGAAATATATTTGCCAAGTATGACCATTGCATGGGAGCAAGGTTCAAACTTGATTTTGTAGTGGTTCAGGGTTTTTGAACAGGGGAGGGACTTGGTATGAACCATTTTTCCAGAGCATTAATCCGAGGGTCATCTGAAAAATTCACCAGAGGAGAGAAAATGTGAGGTTGGGGGAGACCATTTAGGACATTATTAGAGTAAAGCAGGAGTGGAGTAATAGATGATTTTGAAGATGAATGAAAGAAATAAGGTAATTAGGTAAAGGGAAGGGAAGATTTTGAGACCCAGTGACAGTGCCATCTTTAAGATCAAAGGATGTTAAAGTCAGCAGGGAGTTATTTTGCATTCAACCCCTTCATTCTAGAGAAGTGAGGAAACTGGAGCCCTGGGATGGGAAGTATCTTAGCCAAGATCACAGAGATAGTTCAGCCCTTTTACAGATCCTATCCAGCCTTTTGTCCAGCTCTCTGCTTTGATTCTCACTGTGCTGTAATCCTCAACGACTAAATTAAAGATACCTGGCAAGTAGTTTTCAAGGTAGTACCCCCCCCCCAATTTATACCCCAAATGCATTTGCTGCCTTCACAGACATGTCAGCATTGCCATATATTTATTTTTAACTGTGTTACAGTGTCTTCACTGCCCTCCATCTCTATGTCTGAAGGGTCATCTCATTGATTTTATCATAGATCTCTCCCTGAGGGCTTTTTATTGTGGCATTTTCTCCTCTAGAACGTCTTGCTTATGTGGATCTAGGATATTATAATTATGCACCTGGACTTATCTGCATTGCATTTTTAAGGAGTGCCTCTCCCACATAGTCCATTACAGGACAGCTGTTCACTTATCCTGGGGTGGCTGTTACATATGAGGAATCTTCCTTTAAAAGGATGTTCTCACTGACCCACTTATCAAGACTGCATAAGTGAAATTTTCTTCTTTTATGCTTGTAATCTTTCATGTTGAACATCACCTTAGCCAGGTCCCTTTATTGTATAGATGAAAAAACCGTGGTCCCGGGAAGTTGGAACTTGTCCAATGTCAAGGTGAGCTTGTGACAGTTGCAGAGGCTTGCTTGCCCTCTCAACCAGTGTCCCCATTTATGAAATGGAGATGATTCCATCACTGTCTACCTCCAAGTGTTTTTATGAGGGTGAGTAAGATAAAATCTGTGAAAAACAGTTATGTAAAATGGAAGCATTACCATCAAGGCTTTTAAGTCAAGACAAAGTAGTGCTCTTTGAAACTGAATAAAAACCTGGAACCTTACAGTAGAAGCACTCATTCTCTCAAGACTTTCTTTCCATTAGATTATAAGTTCCTTGCTGGCAGAGATTTTAGAGGTTAGTCCAACTTTAATATTTGCTTATAGGAAGAGGAGGTTGCACAGCTAGTTTCTAGCAGAGCCCAAACTCAGAATTACTGGAACTCATCTCAGTCCCTTTATTCCATGTTGTGTAGCATAGCACTTTGTGCACAGTAAGAGCTGATATGTTTGCATTCTAGTGGGCAGGCACAAGAGCAGTGACGGCACGATGAGCTTTATACCCCCGCGGAGGAACATGTACGGAACAGTGAGAGCAGAGTCGAGGAATATCCCTTATGCCTCGGAGGGCAGTTCTATTCTGGATTCTGTGGTGTGCCCTAGAAGGGTGTGGAATGACTTCTTAGTTACTGTCTAAAATTGCTAGGCATTTCTTGTGTATTCTGATCTGAGGTTAATAAGCACATTTCTTCCTGATTTCTCCTTCATTTAAGCTGTCCTTGTCATTTTTGGGGGTGTCATCATGCTCAGGGAAAGTACATAAGCCAGGAGCCTTTCTACTGTCACAAGTTTATATGTTAGCAGTCACTGTCTTGGGAGCTGCCAGGCCAGAAGAAGGGTGGGGATTCCTCTTGGGGATGCACATGCACCAGGGGAGACTCCAGGAGTGAGTTCCATTTGTATTCATACCTGCATTATATATCTAACCCTCTTACCTCCCAGCTTTATAGAGAAGATGGCAGTCTGACATGTTGGTCTCTCATCAAATAGCGTCTGTTTCCCTTTCATGTGGTCACATGCAGTATGGCTTTACGTGTGAAGTGTGTGTTACTCTGGAAACATTTGAAATATCCTAAACAAAATGACATTTTTCTTTCTTTTTTTTCTTAATTCAACAGAAAATGCCCTAAAAACAATAGAGGACGACGACAGAAGCAAAACCTAGGTCATTTTACTTCAGATACATCATCCAGAATGGTTTAAACTGATGACTTTTATATGTACACTGACCATGTGATGTACATTTGTCTTTTTTTAAAGAATGGAAATATTTATTTCAGAGGCCTTATTTTTGGACATTTTTAGTGTAGTACTGTTAGCTCGTATTTAGAATATTCAGCTACAACAGTTTTGGACTGTTTAGTAGTCTTTGTTTTATGTTTTTAAATACAGAAATTGATTTCACAAATTTGTACCACATGGTAATTCTAAGACTTGTTCTTTACCCATGGAATGTAATATTTTTGCAAAGATGGACCACTTCACAAATGGTTATAAAGTCAGACCCACTTCTTCCACAATGACCACAGCAAATGACCAAGCATGAACTGAAGGTAAAGATGTTTACAGATTACTTTTCTTACAAAAGAAAATCTAGAAGACTCTGTGTTTAGACATTTCAATGTTTTTGAGATTTATTAACCGATTTTTTAGACACTGCCTATTGCATGAATTGTAAAGCTGTGTGTGTTAGATGTAAAATATTTATAAGGTGTATGGACTGGAATTTGATCCTTTCTCTCCTTGAAAAAATAATTCTGAATTTTTAAAAGTATATGGAAGCAATGATGGAACGGATCACTGAAAAGTAGATTTAGATGTTGTGAAAATAGTCTGTTTAACAAACAGATTGGAATAAAGCCTACTTTATCATTTAAACTACTTCTATACACATTCATTTTTAAAGAAATATTTGTTTTAACATAAATAAACCAATTGTATCAGTGTTTGTGAATAAATGCAAAAATGATTGTTAACGATGGGTGCTCTTCACATGAGCTTAAAAATCATCTAAGACCTCTATCCAAATTTGTCCTGTAGTAATAGCTATACTAATAGATTGTTGGTGTTTAAAGATCTGAAGTGTGAATAGAATGTATTCAGCTGTTTAACATGTAGTTTAGGTATTCAGAAGTATGCATGTAGAATTTAAGAATATGTTCAAAATATTAATTTTAATATTTGGTTTGGAAAAGCATGTTATAATATAATGTTTTCACTATACGGCCTCTGTTTTGGTGTGTTTATTTACTGCATTCTTTGATATTGACATATCAGTATGTTTATATGTGAAATTAATAGAAAAAGCAGATTTCAGTTCAAAATTCCCATTTGCTTTTACAAATACTGCTTGAAATTGTCTAAAGATAGAAGCTTCACCCAGCGCTTGGAGTTTGCTTTTTTGGTTATTTGGCTTCGAGGCTTAATATTAGTAACATGGTGGCCTTAGGGAACTTCTTTTTAAAAAAGCTTTCCTCTTCTACCCACACAGTCTTATTTGAGTCCCTTAGTCATCAGTAAGCATGTTTGGAACAGCACCCAGTGCTTTTGCAAGGGTTCATATTGCAGAACAGTCACGTATGGGTATTTGTAGTTACAAATACTTGACCAGTCTCCAGGGGTGGGGTTTCCAACCCTTTAAACAACCCTGTTCCCTGTTATCAAGCTAACTTTTTGCTCTCAGTGCCAGAATTGATTGCGCTAAGACATCTTTCACTGAGAAATAAATAAAATGGAACATAATGGGTCTGCTTCAAATGCTGATAAAATCCACCAGAATCGCCTGTCGAGTGTGACAGAAGATGAAGACCAAGACGCTGCTCTTACCATCGTGACTGTGCTGGACAAAGTAGCTGCCATCGTGGACAGCGTGCAGGCCAGCCAGAAGAGGATAGAGGAGAGACACAGGGAGATGGAAAATGCCATGAAGACCGTCCAGATTGACCTGCTGAAGTTTTCGCAGTCACACAGCAACACAGGTTATGTCATTAACAAGCTGTTGGAGAAAACGCGAAAGATCAGTGCTCACGTTAAAGAAGTGAGGGCCCGAGTGGAGAAGCAACAAACTCACGTCAAAAAAGTTGAATCCAAGCAAGAGGAAATAATGAAGAAGAACAAATTCCGTGTGGTAATATTCCAGGTAAGCTGGCACCTGTGTTTAGCTCGATTACTGCTATCTCTTGCGTCCTTTAATGGCCAACAGGTCTTGTCAGACCTGTCACATGGTAACTATTGTGTATATGCGTGTGGTGGAGTTCTGTATCATCAGAGATCTCAGGATAAAAGCATTTCTATGTTAACTGGTATACTATCATGTCAGTGTTTTGAGCTTCTCAGCCGTTTCATGTAATATGAACTGTGGATCATAGCTGAGTCTATTTCTTGCCTTTGAAACTTAATATTGGTAAGCTGCTTTCGGCATATTAGCCGTATTAGCATGATGCCCTCTCAAAGCCTTTGAGAAGGTTAGGACTAGAAGATATCTAAGAAGCCTCCAGTTTAAAACACCTCTTTGTTGTAGAAAAAAAGAAACTGAGCACCTGTAGCTCTGCAAAGTGGTTCTTTCCCTTGTTATGGAGAGCCCAGAAAGCCCTAAACAGTAAAATGTAAACTTTTCAGAATATAATTTGTCTATTGGAATTTTTACCTATAATAACGTATAAGTCACAATAATAAGACAAACGGTCTATTTCTTAATGAACAATCAGACAGTTGTTCTTTTTCTTATAGTTATATAAATGTAGGAGTCACATAAGTAATTCCTTGTATTTGATTACCAAGTCTTTACTTAGCTGAATTCTTTTAGCTGCACTGCACAGCTTGTGGGATCTTAGTTCCCTCATCAGGGATCGAACCCGTGCCCTCTGCAGAGGAAGCACAGAGTCCTAACCACTGACCGCCTGGGAAGTCCCTACTTAGCTGATTTTACATGATAGTTTTTGTGTGGCGTTGTGTGTTGAGCTAATAAGTTCCTATCTTACTCTGCACTTGATACTCATATTTTTTGAAATAGGAACACATCCATGGCAAATGCCTAATATCTATAATATATTTTAAAACTCTTACAAATTAAAAGGGAAAAAGTTGAACTTTCATGGTAGAAAAATTGGAAAGTCATTATCAGTCGGTTCACAAAAGACAAAGTAAATGAGCAAAATTCCATTTTCACCTATGTAAATATTTGCAGTTACTGAAACATTCGCAGAGTTTAAGAGTAGGAAACAATAAGCACTTTCATATTCTGCTGGTAGAATATTAAATGGTACATTTCTGGAGGGCGGTTTTGGTATTATGTGTTAAGAACCTTAAAAATTCGCAAACCTTTTGGCCCCAAAATTTAATGTCAAAGAATTTGTTGTAAGCATAAAATCAGGAATGTGTGCGGGCATGTTCACTGGTACATATATGCAGTGTTATCACACTGTATTTTTAAAATTAATGTATGCCCATATGCATAGGGAAAAGGCCTAGAAGAATAAAAACAAATTGAAATAGGAACACAGTTGGTAGGTAGTTGAAAGATACCAGGGATGTGGGCCATAACTCCCGGGGCATTCTTTACACTTCAGTCAATTCTCCGTAGCCCACTGTTGGCTGATAAGGTTACACGGGGATGGCAGAGTGGTATTTTGGATCTGTATTTAAGAGCCTGTTGGTTATTTAGGAGGAAGAATGGGAGGAGAGAGTGGGTTGCTTACTTCAAAGGTAGTCAAGTTCGACTATGCCATCTGAAGGCCTTTACCATTTCCCTCTCCTCCCAGGTCCCTAGAAGTCCTTCTCCAGACTTAAATTTTTGAAAAAAAAAAAAATCAGTCATCTTACTCTCAGAAGCCAGTTGTAGTATATGTAATGGGGATCTAAATTTAGTACTGGAGAATGTAGTATCCATTCTTGAATTCGCTTTTCCATGGGCATTAACAGTTCATTGCAGCTCTATTTACAATAGCCAGGACATGGAAGCAACCTAAGTGTCCATCAACAGATGAATGGATAAAGAAGATGTGGCACATATATACAATGGAATATTACTCAGCCATAAAAAGAAATGAAATTGAGTTATTTGTAGTGAGGTGGTTGGACCTAGAGTCTGTCATACAGAGTGAAGTAAGTCAGAAAGACCATATGCTAACACATATATGTGGAATCTAAGAAAAAAAAATGGTTCTGATGAACCTAGGGGCAGGACAGGAATAAAGATGCAGATGTAGAGAATGGACTTGAGGACACGGGGAGGGGGAAGGGTAAGCTGGGACGAAGTGAGAGAGTAGTATTGACATATACACACTACCAAACGTAAGGTAGATAGCTAGTGGGAAGCAGCCGCATAGCACAGGGAGATCAGCTCGGTGCATTGTGACCACCTAGAGGGGTGGGATAGGGAGGGTCGGAGGGAGGGAGATGCAAGAGGGTAGAGATACGGGAACATACATAATAACTGATTCACTTTGTTATAAAGCAGAAACTAACACACCATTGTAAAGCAATTATACTCCAATAAAGATGTTTAAAGAAAAAACAAACAGTAATGGGTATAACTCACCCTCCACTTGCATGGGGCATGCCAGGAAACATTCTTGGTATCCAGCATTTCTCCTGAGAACCTTTGTGTGAAGAGTAGACCAGGTTAACAATCAAGATTTACAAAGGCTAAAGAAAGCAGAGGAGTTTCTGAGAAGTTCTAATTGACCCTTTTTTGTCTATTGACATAATTCTTTTTTTTAAAAGTTGTTTCTATATTCACCTGTTTATTCCCTGAAAGTTGCTATTTTTTTTCTTTGAGCACCTACAGTTATTTGAATAAATAGAAGATGGTATGAAAAAGGAAGCGAGAGGCACTAGTGAGAGACATAATGCTATGAAGAGTCTGTGAAATTAAGTTGTTCAGAGTAAGCAGCACTTTATCAATAAGCAGTGGCTATCTCTTGTAATGGGAGAGCATGTAAAGAAAAGTTAAATACCAATGGATTCAATGATTCATGAGATATTAGAACACTGTATACAGCATTCATATGGGTTTGTTTAACAGTTAGAAGTCATATGCTTAACAGTTAAAAGTCATATATATATATGTGTGTGCATATATATATATATATATATTTTTTTTTTTTTTTCTATTGGCCAAGCTGCACACCTTGCAGGATCTCAGTTCCCCAACCAAGGATTGAACCCAGGCCACGGCAGTGAACGCTCCAAATCCTAACCACTAGACCACCAGGGAACTCCCAAAATTCTTATAATTCATTCTTACAGTTAATATGTTTAAGTGGCTATATTGAGATTGCGCCTTCTACTAAAATTAACTTGAAGCTGAGTAATTCAGCTGTAGTATACTTTCATTTCGATTTGGGTTTTTCCTCAAAAAGATTTCCCTAGATATATCTTTTGGTGGCAGTGTTTATCGCTATTTTATCTCCCACCGTTGTGTACGGCAGAGCTTTCACCTAATTCTGGACATTGGCATTGAAAAAAATTATCTGCTCTTTATCATACAATTATGATTTCTCCTTGAACATGCTTTCACCTTAGCGACCTCCTCACCATGAAAGAAAGCCAGGAGGCTTCCCATATCTTCTAACAATTTTGCTTACTAACCACATGCCCGTGCCTCCCAAATGAGGTATTTGGCCATTCCCTAATGATAAGTCCCGGACTTCTAAATATTCGAAATTCTCTTAGCAGTATTACTTTGATAATCAAGGCCATTATACTCTGACTCGTAATACTCATTTTGTTACAAAAATCATCTTTTTACCTAGAATTTTACATGAAAAAATGTATAATAATTGTATTTGGAAATCAACTATAATTCAGCCCTATAATTTCCAATTATTATTACAGTGTATTCACCACTAACTCATGGTATCTTTGACTCAGAGGAGTTGCAACAAATAGATTTACATAGCAGGTACTTTCTCTGTCTCTACCCCTGTTTTGTTTTGTTTTTAAGCCTGAGTTTGTTGAGTTTGTTGTGCAGTTGAAGAAGGGTTTGTGATTCTTGAGTTAAGCCATAACTGATTTCTTCACAGCAGGATTGTGAGGGTTTTTCCGTATGAAACAGTAATTATTGTTTGGCTCCTTTTCTAATTATACCTACTCAGTCCATACCCACCCACTCAGTGCTGCTGAAGCTACTCCCTGTAGTAGGTGTCAGGAAAGGAGAGGAATAATGTTGCTGCTTCTGAGATACCCACTCTACCTTTTTTTTTTTTTTTTTTTAAGTTCCTAGACTCTCCAATCCTGTAGCCAAAGAATTTAATTTTAAATAAGTATCCGGAGAAGTAAAGTTCTGGGGATACGTTCTTGACTATCAGGATGATAGGTTTTGGAATACGTATAAATGTGTTTCTTACATAGTAAATTTTTTGGTTGAACGGATTTAATCTGGATCTCAAGTAGGAGCACAGTTTCTTTTAGAAATTTCAACTTGTGGGTTCAGTTAAAAATCTCATGATCTTTAAAGTTTTTCCTGTTTAGTTTTAGAAATAATCCCTAAATAGCAAGTTGGGGTCCTTTAGCAGCCATGTTTCTGGCCTGGTTCTCAAGGTTACCAGTGTCTGCCATGTTCCCAAATCCAACTTGATGAGTCCTTACCCTTTTGACATATTTGACATAGTTGGTCCCTCCCTCTCTTCTTGAAACTTTTTTCCCCTTGGCTTCAGGGGGTGCCTCTCGCTCTTGGATTTCCTCCTGCCTCACTGGCTGACATTTATCCTTTTTGGTTCTTTCTCATCTCTTCCTTCCTCTTCTTCTTTTTTAAAAAAATTTTTTAATTTATTTATTTGGCTGTGCTGGGTCTTAGTTGCGGCACATGGGATCTTAGTTGCCCTGTGCGAGATCTTTGTCGCAGCATGAGGGATCTTTAGTTGCAGCATTCAGGGTCTTTAGTTGTGGCATGTGAACTTTTAGTTGTAGCATGTGGGATCTAGTTCCCTGACCAGGAATTGAACCCGGGCCCTCCTGCATTGGGAGTGTGGAGTCTTAGCCACTGGATCACCAGGGAAGTCCCTCATCTCTTCCTTCTTATCTTCAGGTCCAAAATCCATTTATCTATCAATAACACCAAAATTCAAAAATCTGTAAAAATAAAATTTTTATCGTAACTTATTTGGCAGCAAGACCTAGCTTTACCTGAACTCAGTGGATGCCAAAACCCAACCTCAAGTAGCATGAGGCTGTTTATACTCTTTGTCCCACCTTAGAGTGAATATTTGTATTTTTTTGCCACAAAAAGGTTTCTTCCCAAGATCTCACTGGGAATGTTATGTAATATATTATTTTCCCCAAATCTGAAATATTCTGATTTCTGAAAGGTAGCTTGGTTCCAAGGAGTTTTGAATAATTGGAGTGTAGACCCATTCATTCAATCTCTTGGTGATCTCTTTCATCTGGCCTCATGATTTTTAGTTTCATCTTTATGTTAATGATACCTAAATTTATCTCTAGTCCAGATCTCTCTCCTGAATCCCAGACTTATGTACTCAGCTGTCCACTCAACATCTCTGCTTGGATGTACAGTGGGCATCTCAAAGTCAGCATGTTCAGATCCCATCCTTTCCCATCTCAGTGAATGGCTAATCTGTCCTTCAGCTGCTCAGGCCCTGGACTAGAGAATCATCCTTGACACTCTCCACATCTCAATCTAGCAGCAGCAGATCCTGTTGGCTCCTACCTTCAAAGTGGATCTGGAATCAGGCCACTTCTCACCACCACCTCTGTCCACACCCTGATCCATCTCTTACCTGATTGAGCTCAGTGGTCTCTAACTGCTGTCCCTGCTTCTTATCTTGCCCTCGATAGCCTCGTTTCAGCAGGGTGACCCTTTTACAACATAGGTCAAGTCATGTCACTATCCTCCTCAAAACTTTTTAGAAGGCTTCCTATCGCACTCGGAGTAAGAGCCACGGTCCTTATGATCAGATACAGAGCCCTACGTGAGCTGGCCCTCCCACTACCTCTCTTACCCTCTCTCCTCCTCTTGCCCCTTGGTCACTCTGCTTCAGCCACACTGCCTTCCTTGCTGTTTCTCGTTTCCTCCCAGTTATATGCATTACCTTCAGGTCTAGGCTTGGATGTCACCTTATTAGTGAGGCCTTTCCGAGCATCCTCCCCAGTCACTGTGTATCCCCCTGCCCTGCTCTATTTTTACCTTAGCGCTTATCACCATCCAACATACTATGTAAGTAACTTGTTTATTTCTCTCTTCAAGAATACAAGTTCTTTTACTCTGTTTTTTTTTTTTTTTTTTTTTTGCGGTACACGGGCCTCTCACTGCCGTGGCCTCTCCCGTTGCGGAGCACAGGCTCCGGATGTGCAGGCTCAGCGGCCATGGCTCACGGGCCCAGCCGCTCCGCGGCATGTGGGATCTTCCCGGACCAGGCCACGAACCCGCGTCCCCTGCATTGGCAGGCAGACTGCCAACCACTGAGCCACCAGAGAAGCCCTTTTACTCTGTTTTATTCAAAGAGGGAGGTTCTCAGTTCCTAGACTAGTGACTGGTGCATGGTAGGTGCTTAGTAACAATTTGTTGAATGAAGGCGTATGCTTCTTATTTGTTCCAACAGTCATTTGTTGAGTATACCTACTATGTACAAGGCACTCTGATAGATGCCAGGCATAAGACATAAGTAAGATACATCTCTGCTTTCCTGGAAGCTATTATTTAGTGAAGGCCTCAGGGAGACATATATAAATGAGTAGAGTTCTGATTCAATTCAGACTGTGATAAATGTTATAAGTAGAGGAATGCATGTGTCATTTTGGTATAGATTGGAGACAGGTTTGACCTCTGGGGGAAGCTGGGGATATTTGAATTGACTCGAAGAAAGATTTTATTCACAAAGCTGGAAAGAGGTGAAAGGTAGCAAAAACCACGTTTATAAAGGCATGCAGGGATGAAAACAGTATGTGTTTAAGGAACTCAGAGGGGTTGTATTGCTGGACTGGAGGAGTGGGAAAGTAGGTTTTGCTCAAATTGAAGAGCCTTCTAATTATACTGAAGAATTTGAACTCTATCCTTTGAGTATTGGTGAGCTCCCCAATGTTTTAAAGTAGAGAAAGCATGTGATCAGAGCTATGTTTTAGAAACATTTCTCAGGAAATACTTTGGTGATGTTTTAGAGGTATAAGTATTGCACGAGTTCAGGCCTGAGATGACAGGGCTTGAATTAAGACGTTGGTAGAGGCAAGGAGGAAGGAGGCGGGAACAGAAGAGTTAGTAGTTATTAAGCAATATTATCGACAGCGCTTAGTGACCAGTTGGATATGGGATGAAGAGAGGGAATATTTGGGACCATGCTTCTGAGGTTTTTCTGGGTGGCACCTGGAGGTATTGGTGCTGAGAGGTCCAGGAAAGGATGATGGCTGGGCCTTGATTTTTGGATATGTGAAGTTAGAGGTTCCTGTGTTACATCTAGGTGGAGAAGTCTTTCAGACATTTAGAAATGGGTTTTCATCTTAGGGGAAGGGGAGAGGTGAAGGTAAAAGATTTGTGAGTCTGCTTGCCTGGATTTGAAGGTAGAGCAGTGGATAAGTTTGCTCGGGGTGAGCTTGGGAGATGAAGAAAAAGAAACCCTGAGAAATGCCAGCATTTAGGGAGTGGGGGGAGGATAAGCAGCCCGTGGAGGAGATTGAAAAGGCGTGGCTGGAAGGTTAAAGAACCCATCGCTAACACGCTTGCTTTCTCTCTCCTTCAGGAGGATATTCAGTGTCCAACGTCCCTGTCTATCATGAAAGACAGAAGCTTGACTGCTGAGGGTCCAGAGGAGGAGGACGATATCTTCGATCCCCCAGTTGATCTGTCTTCGGATGAAGAATATTATGTTGAAGAGAGCAGATCTGCCAGGCTTAAAAAGTCAGGCAGGGAGCGCATTGATAATATCAAAAAGGCCTTTTCCAAAGAAAACATGCAGAAGACACGGCAGAATTTTGACAAGAAAGTGAACAGAATTAGGACTAGAATAGTGACACCAGAGAGGAGAGAGCGGCTAAGGCAGTCAGGGGAGAGGTTAAGGCAGTCAGGGGAGAGGCTGAAGCAGTCAGGGGAAAGGTTTAGGAAATCTATTTCTAATGCAGCTCCTTCAAAGGAAGCTTTTAAGATGCATAGCCTTCGGAAAACTAAAGACCGTACTGCGGCCGAAGGTCCCGAAGAGGTCAGGGAGATAGGGGTGGACATCATTGCCAGGAGCGAGTCTCTGGGCCCCATCAGTGAGCTGTACACCGAGGTGCTCAGTGAAACAGACCCCGAGGAGGCCAGAGCCTCACATCCTCCCCGAGAAGGTGGGGAAATCTCGACCTCCGAGCCTTTAAAAGTTACTTTTAAACCCCAGGTGAAAGTAGAGGATGACGAATCTCTTTTGCTAGATTTAAAGCAGTAATTATAAAGAGGAATTAAGTATATTATAATTGTAAGTCTCCTGAATCACACAGTTTTAGTTTAATTAGCATAGTCATTTACATGTATATGCCATATAGGAAAACATAAGTGGTATGGCTGTCTCATTTCTTAGGTTTAAAATTTTAAAGGTAATACAATTATTAATATACATTTGCTTAATTAATATACACTTCCTGGGGAATTCTTTTTTTTTTTTTCCCCTCCCCCAGGACTTACATGATTCTATCAGCTTTCTCTCTTAGGTCACCTCTCATGGCAGCTGTGGATTTTTAAGTTCCTTTCTCTTGCCCATCAGAAAAATAGTTTCCTAGTGAGGCCCAATTAGGTGTTCGGTAGTCTACAATAAATGAAGGCCAAATTTATGGCCATCATTTATTTGCAAGTGAACTCTCGATTTTGGTCTAGATTAATATTGTGGCCAAGCTCAAAGGGGAATAAGTCACATGTGGATTTTTATCTATATGTTCACATCAATAGATTTTTTAGTAAATTAGCAGTCACACCCCTTTTTGATGCCTTTGCATAAAAACGTTGAAGTGCTGGACTTGAGCATTTAGTTTTGGCATCACAGCTTTGCTTACAGGGAGCCACTTGGCAAGTCGTCTAATGGTCTGGTTAGTACAACAGAGAGGGTTCGCCTGTCCTACCCTTCTCAGAGGACTGTTGTGAAGATAAGGAAATGTTATACATTCTGGGAGAACAAGAGCTATTTCCAGAGAAAACAAACCCCACTGGTTCCCCAAAAGCAGAATCGAAATAATTCCATCTTCTGAAAAAGTCCTGAGCTCCAAGCAGTGAGGACCTAGGTCGGACAGACACTAAAGTTGGTCTTCAGAAGCGTTTTCACAGAATCAGGAATCAAAAGTCAATGTTTGGGTGACATCTTTTTTGTCAAAGACTAAAACCAGACCTTGGGTTTGAGTTGGGTCTTAAAACGTTTCCTGGAAAATTCTTTTCTGATTTTCTTCTGATTCAGATCTCTGGTGGACTGGAGCAGCATGGTTTTGAGCAGCATGAAAGCTGCAACTGTGGCTGTGTCTTCCAGAGGCCTTTCTAAAGTCAGCCCTTGTGCAGTGCTTGGAAATGACCTCAGATGCTTCTGATTTCCAGAGTGAACCCCTCAGGGTCCATCCATCCAAAACAGTATTCGTGGGTGTTCATCATAACTGCTCTGAGAGGAAGCCAGATTCCACTTATTTGTTAGCTGTAGATCTAGCCAATCTAGAAGTAGATATTATTGCTAAAGAAAGAGAAATGGTCATACTGGTCCTGCACTTGTATATGTTTAAATCTTCTGGTTTGTAAAAGGGAAGAAATGATGGAATTGTGGAATTTGAAGAGTTTGGACAGCAGTCAGCTTTCAGTCAGTTTTGGATGCTCAAGTAGTAATTAAGCATTGTACACACACACACACACACACACACACACACACACACACAGAATCAGCTTTAAAATATTTAACTCAGTTACCCAGCTGTTTGGATTTGGGAGTTTGATTCAGCATCATTTCCTCTTCACTCTGCCTGAATACATAAAATCATGAATTGTTAATCTCATTATCTTTTTTTTATTGAAAACTAAAGTGTATACAGCTTTGAACAATACTTTAAAAGGAATAATTTTTAAAATGTTAGAGTTTAGAAAGAGCTTGGATGCCTAATCACACATTTCCTTAAAGCCATAATAAATTTGAATTTAAAAAAGACATTATTACAAAGTTTGATGTCAGTGTCCTTTTTGTAAATATTTTTACTAATAATGAATGCAAACAGTATGGCATGTATTTGATATAGTAACCCTACTCATAATAGATATGTTTCTAGGTTAAGCAGAATGTAAAGAAGTTATATGCTTTTTTTTTTCTGGCCCTACACAGTCCTACAATTGAGCAAAATATCACTGTCAAGGAATTTTTGTAAAGTCCATTTGCTTACTGACCCATTATATAAGCAGACTTGATATGTTATGGAACATTTCCCACATAGGTACGTTTGAATTTTGATTTAGAAGGCATTATAGCCTGGCCAGCTCTTCATCATGGTAGACTCTGAACAATTTCATGTTCCCAGAGGTTCATTGTAACTTACACTGCTTTCTTGGTACTAGGATTTTCCCCTCCGTGTCACTTCTGTCTCTCAACATTTCCCCCCATGTTTAGAGCGTTCCTCAATTCCACATTCATGATTTTTTTCTCCTTTCACCCCATTCTCTTGACATAAAGAATGTCTTTATTATAGGCTGCAGAATCATACATCTTCATTTAATGCAAGGAATATAGTCAACATTCTCTATTTTTAAAGTTTCAGACAACACAGATTTTCTCCTCATTTTACTCTTCTGTGTTTTTGAAATTATATGCTAGATTTTAAACAGTTTATTGAAATAAAACCATTAGCAGGATTTATCCCCTTTTCTTTCTGTGAGGCAGAACTATGCGACATCCATAGATACCCAGGGCATGGAGCCCACTCTCAGGCTCTACTATAGAATAGACAGACGAGAAGAGGGAAGTGCAACTCTGTCTCCTGCACATGATGGATCCAGAGGCTTTCCTCTCAGGGTCTGTGGCGGCCTGGTTCTGGGTCATAGGTTAGAGAAAAGGGCCCAATGTGAATAGTGATAAGAGGAGCATGAAAATTCAGCTTGTTGAGAGCGTATTTGTGGTGTGTGTAAACTCCCTTGAACAGGTTTTCATAAATTAAAACTACAAACCAAACTACAGTATTTCGTTTTGACTTTATTGTTTACCTTCCATGTACGTATAAGGGTTTGGTTCAGAACAGTCTGAAGTTCACTGTGATTCTATCAGCTAGAGAGCATGGGTCATGTTATGTAAAATATTTCACAGAATCACTGTTAACTCTACAGTCCCCAAACATGAAATTATTGGCCCTGTTTTTCTTCTGAGACATGTTTTCTATAGCTTTTATTGAACCCTACTAAAAATATTATAGGTTACAATCCCCAAATAATTGCTGTGGCGTATCTGAGTCAAGACTAGGGAAATGACCACTGTGGTATCGTCCTCAGCTCTGCTGGAATTTGGGGCACGCTAGTATCCGGTCTGTAGCGAAAGAAAAATGAATCAGCCTTAGTGCTGAGTTTTGTGTGTCATTCTTGTGACCACTTCTGAGTTATGTGATTTCTGAGGATTTATATCTGTCCTTAACAAGTCAGAATCCTTCAGTGTATTTCTTGGGTGGATAGGAGATCTAGGATAACTAGCTCTTCACTGTGAGCCTCTTAGGACATCCAAGGTTCCCCAAGAGAATAGCTTGGAGTGGCAGAACATCCTCAGGCTTTGAGTTTACTCTGGGCATCTTCCTAAACTCAGCTGTGCTTGTCAGGGGCTGTCCTAGACTGCTCTGCCACTTGATGCCTTTGCTCATGCCGTTTGTCTCTCTTGTGGTTTGGGAGATGAGTTTCAAGTTCAGTGATAATGTCCGTTTCCTTCTTTTAGCTTCCTTGGTTACCTCCCGCCCCTTAGGAAGGGTGTGATTAATTCCATATAGTCAGTACACACACAGCACCTTTGATCTGCCAGATTCTGTGTGAGGCACTGAGAATTCAAAGACGAATAGAACATAGTCCTTGTTCCTTCCCCTTCCCCCTCTCCCCTTTTCTTCCTTCCCCTTTCCCAGCCCTGATCTCAGACTCACTGTTTCTAGGAGTCCGTCAAGCCAAAATTCAGCAACGTGACTAGTGATGTGTATAATATGATGGAACTGTAGAGATGGAAGGCGTTGATATAGAATTTAGATTATACGTCAGTCATACCACTTATCATTACATTTTAGTTCATTTGTGTGATTGTCTTCTAGACTAGACTGTGCAGCTTAGGGGCAGGAACTCTATTCTATTCATCTTTGGGTCCCCAGCACTTGGGAGCCTCCCAAGGGCTAGGCATCATTAGGTATCATGATATATGAAAAATATGGACCCTGCACTTAAGGAGCTTTTCCTCTGGTGGAGAAGACAGACATGTAATCCAACATCATTGCATAATGTGATTGGAGCCTCATGTCTAAGAAAGGATGATGGGAGCGTAGAGGAAGAGCGTCTAACAAGCTGGGGAGGGGGTGTCAGGGAAAGCTAGAGAAAATGGTGCTTCACTTGGCATTTGAAGACCAATCAAGAGTCAGCTAAATAACAGAATTCAAGGCAGGATGCAGCTGGAGAGGTTGTATGAAGATGTTTTGGGTTTTATGTCAAAGGCCATAGAGAGCCATTGAGATCGAAAGCTGTGGAGTGCCATGACTGATGTTTGTGGAAGGATGTTCTGTTAACAGCAGGGGCAGTGAGACCAGTTACTAGGCCCCTTACGTTTTTCCAGATGAGAATAGCACCTGACCTCAAGCATTAACAGAGCTCTGCACGGGATAAACTTAGATGTGGCTTGTGACAGGGATCAAATGATAGCCAGGTTTCTGACTTGGGTGAGTGGTCCTGCCATTCACTGAGACAGGAAATGTGGTGTCCTGTCTGGGGACTCTTAGACAGCACTCTCCTACTGCCCCTCTCACGCTCTGCTCGGACCGCCTTTGTTGCCGGTCCCTTGCATAGCCTGAGAAACAAACGGGAGCCATGTGTGTACTCCAGAAGCTCCCACACTAGAGGTCTGCCTAGTCTAGCCATTGTGGCTCTCACCCATGCTTGAAGAAAGCCTCGTTTGGAGTGATCCTTTCCCGGTTCTAGCAAGTGCCTTGCCCTCTCCACCAGGACTCCAAAGTTCTTGGGAAGCAGCATTGCCTTTCAGATGTAAGGCCATTGTGAGAGCTTCTCTCCCATCAGTATCTTTGTTCAAGGCCAGATTTTTGCTTGCTCATTGTATGGTCCAAAGAAAAGCTGCCCTTGATCTTAGAATGGATGCTTTTGATTTGTTTATTTCTCTTTTTATAATCTCAGCTGTTGTTTGGCACCCAAGGGTTCTAGCCAAAGCTGTGCTTGGTATTGCAGCTGATACTACAGTAAAAGCTGCTGTAACTTGGTATCTTGGCCAAGGCCAGTCACACAGGTTCATGTAGCTACTCGGCTGCTGGGGCTACAGTAAGAGCCTCGATCTCATCATGGGTGCTTTGGTTTCAAACCTCATCCCTTGGTGTCTGTCACATGAGATCTGAGTCATGGCATCACAAATGTATTAGGGGTTCAAGATGGGCTTTGATGCAACCCATTTTTCTTCTTTTCCAAGGTTCTGGCTGATGGAAGAGTTCGTTTAAGGATCACCAGCAAAATGGAGACCAAGGTGTCATCTTATTACTGGCTGGGCAAATGTCTAGTACTTCCCGCAAATGCAGAGCATCTGGTGGATTCTGTTGGAGAATGTGGCTTAGACTTAAGACGGGAGAGAGGGAGAGAGAGAGAGGGAGAGAGAGAGAGACATACATCCTGCTGTGTCCCTGGGGACCTGCATACTTTGTGTAGCAGTAGAGAGAGCAAGGTTTGTGGAGCAGAAGCAGGGTCCATTTTATCAGCTAGCAATGAAGCCCACAGGCCGGCCTCACATACTCAGCCAGAGGGAGCTGGGGATGGAGGGACCCCCTCCGCCCCCTGGCTCAGGTGGGCAGGTAGTAAGGAGATGGGAGGCAGGGAGGCTGGGGCTCCTGACCCAGAAAACCCACCATCCCAGAATGAAGGGTCTGATTTGAAGCCATAGCCTGGCTTGTGCTGTCGCCTCATGTGCAGAGTTAAACCTAGCCCACGGAAGGTAGCCACTACCACTGAGGCCTATTTTGGACACAGTAAATTGAGGACCACGAGGAGGGCAGGCAAGTAGATACTACAGGTCCCAGACCGAAGGAGAGGGCTGGAGAAACGCACTTGTTAGACGAAGCACAGGTAAGTGAAATTGTGGGTTTTCATGAGAAAGTTCTGGCAGTTTGACTTTGAAAGAAACAGTGGATAAAGATCCTTCTAGAAAGGAATGGGTAAAGAAGTTGGCTAACTTGTAAATTCAGCTTTTCTTCTGAACAATTCTTCGTGGGCTCTTATTTCAAGAACTTTCTCCTGGTCAGTCTATTAACTACCTTCGTAAGGGCAAGAATTCTCTGTTAAACACTGTCTGGTTTCCAGACCTCCCTGATACAATTCACTTTAGGATAAGAGAAGGACTAAATATTCTAACCTTAAATTTAGAACTACAATGAGCACCACAGTCTGGAGGGTTTTGTTCAGTCTCTTGCTGTTAGTCCATTAAGGTATTACTTAATGGCTAAAGTTTGCCTACAGCATAATGTTACAAAGCAGCCAAGTTACCTGTATAATCTCATGGGCTAATATTCACACCTTATCAGAGTCTCATTAGGCCTTTTATCTGAATAAGTTTCAAATTCTCAGACTGGTTATGTAGATATGTTGTTTTAGGGTAAAATAAAATCCATTGAAATGAGTCTTTCACTTTAATTGCATTCGTACCTTTCAAGTGGCCACATTTATTTGGAAAGTTTCTGTAAGGAGAAGAAATAAATTAGCAGAATTATGCACGGCATGTGCTTGGCTCTGGTTCAAAGCAACGGAGAAGATTTCAGAGGGAAACATTCGTATGCTTGTCAACTGTTAAGAAATAGGACTAAATTTTCTTCAAGAGGAGAGAAAATATCCTGTTAAACCATAGGTTGTAGATGCATGAGGAGAGTGCACCCAAATGTTCTCTACCTGAAACTCATACATCTGTCTCACATAAAAAATCACCAACCTTACAGGCAA